GGGGGGGTGAGTTTGAGGTGTGGAATGGAGTGTAGTCCAATCAGCTTCCATATGTAAATGACCTTGGAAAGCTGGCCGGGACTGCACAAAGCAGCCAATGAACCCAGCCAGTGTCTTCCGAGTGGCAGTTTTTTCGGCCTAACACTAAAAGGGCCAATTTTAGAATTCTGGCACCCAAAACTCTTTTATAATAAGGGAGAGATGTTAAGAAATCACAAACAAATCTGACTTGCAAGAGATATGGACCTGTGCATAACTGGAATATTTTGATTGGGACCTTATACATATGTATTCATTGTATTTTAATGAAGACTTTCCTGATGTGCCTGATGAAGGAATGGATTTGAAACACTGATTATATTATCCGGAACAGTGTTGTTTCTAGTTGGAATGGACCTCATTTACTACAAGCCACAGTATATAGATGTTTGGACTTTAATTCAAGGACATGTGATATTTATATAAACTTTTTTTCTCTGTGAGCTTGTTCTATTTATGAAAGAAGTCTGCTGCTTTTGAAATGTGTTGTGACTTGATGTGGGTTTAAATTTGTTACCACCCACTTTTGGATAATTGTTCCTTATTATGTTTGCAATTCTATAGTAATATATATGAGTTTGACATTGTTATTGACTTTGCTTTCCATATAATTATTGTTGCATTCATTTAGCGTGCTTGGACTACAGATTTTTTTGTGATTTCTTTGCTCTTTTCTCTGTAGCCTCCCTCCCTATTAATGTTGGCTTGGTACTTCTGAATCTCTACCTTGAGAGCTTTGTATTTTATCCTGCATGAAGTTCTAGTCCTTGGAAAATTCCGTTTTAGATTAATCATGTCAGTCCCTTCAAACTGCAATTCCTGCTCAGTACTTCAGAAAGTCGTATTAGACTCCCCACCCCCCCCCCAGGAAATCTTTGAAGAGAGATGGTCTCAAAATTTAGACCTTCCTATCATATCATCAGCTCCTGTCTGAGGGTTGCCAAATCTGAATTGGGAAATTCCTGGAAATTGTGGGGGGTGGAGCCTTGGAAGGATGGAGTTTGGGGAGGAGAGGGTACAATGGCATTGAATCTGCCCTCCAAAGTAGCCATTTTCTCCAGGGAAGTTGATCTTTGCCATCCAGAAAGCAGCTATATTTTAGGGAGATTTAAACACACATACACCAGAAGTTGGTAACCACACCCTGCCTTATATTTAACCAGTCCTAGACTTGCCATCTCTTTTTGAGCATAAGCTTTATTTTCTTTTTACTAGTTTTTTAAATAGCAGAATTTAACATGTTAGGATGCCAAACATAAAAAGTGAAACCCATTTCATGATATTCCTTTCAACTTACCCAATGAGGCACCCTGGGAATGGCCAATATAATATAATGTCTCCTGTTTAGTTTTCATCAAGATAAATTTCATCGCTGCTGGAATGTCATAAATCCCCATTTCATGAAAACTGTAACACATGTATGCACAAATGAGAGCTGAATTTTTTTAATTACTTTTTTATTTGCATCATAAATTATTATTACATTACAATACAGTCCCCGTTCTCTTATGATGCCTTTCCCCTCCTTTTATATCCCACCCCCCACAAGGTGACCATCACATACTTCAAATTAAATTTTTAACCATGAGCACATTTTTTCCATTTTTTCCAGTATAACGGAATTGGCTTCTCCATTATTTACCCATTGAAAGTATTCCGACCATTTGTTTTTTATCTCCTTCATCTTTCCATCCCATGCCTTACCTTGTTTAATACTTTCCAATATATCTGACTTAATATATTTGTATAAATAGTTGTTCCATCTATCTAAAGACCACTTCAAGTTCTCCTTCCAACCATATGCAATCACAGCATGCGCGGCTAATAACATTGCTTTAAAAACGTCTTGATTTCGTCTCTCGATGTTAGTTTCCCAGTACGCCCATAAATAATAAATCTCCATCGATTTTAAGATCTACCTTACATAACCCTACTATCTTTCCCCGTACCTGTTCCCAGAAATCTCAAACCTTTGGGCATTCCCACCATAGGTGAGAATACCACCCTTCTTTTGCGTTGCAATGCCAACAGTTAGGTTTCATACCTTTAATCATATATGCCAATTGAGCAGGGGTTTGATACCATTTCAAAATTATCTTTCTTTCAAGCTCTCTATACTTTTCTAATTTAATTTTCTTCAAATTCACCATTAACCTGTTAACGTCGTCAGAAGTTGTTTTCTTTATTCCATTTATTTTAAGGTTCTTAGTATAAACTCCTTAACTTTCACCAATTGAAGGTAAATTTTCCCTGCTAATCCTTTCCTTATTTCATCCACATATAATACCTGTTCTAAATTGTCTTCCCTTTTTATAGCTTCTATATACTTATCTTGTTTAATTAAATGTGATAATCCCCTTAGATTTAGCCAGTACCTTTTCCCTATTTTTTGGTTCAACTCCTGAAGTGGTAGGAGAGTCCCTTGAGGGTTATACATATCCTTGACTCTAGTTATACCTTCCTCCTTAAGGAGTTCCCAAAATTTCGGGTTCATCTCCTTCTCCCAAATATACTTAAGTGGGGTCCACTTTGAAGTTTGAGGCAACAGAATCGCCCTGCACTTCTTCCAAACCGTCAAAGCTGATTTCCTTGGACCCATTGCTTTCCCTATCGCAAATCTCCAGTATAGATTCCATAGCTACCTACCCCCTTATTGATTGCAGATTCAAATCTTACCCATTTATCCTCCGTCCTCCATTCCATCTCCATTAATGCCTTCAACTGAAATGCATCATAATAAGCTTGTAAATGTGGTAGTCCCCATCCTAAATCATCTTGGGGCATATATACCAATTTCTTTTTTATATTCTTGCTTTTTTTCTACCCAACACCAATCTTTTTTTCTACTCAACACCAATCTTTTAATTCTTTAATCCCATTTCCCTATAACTTTCTGGTCAAGTTCTATTGGAAGTACCAGGAATAAGTATAGCATGACTAATTTTGGCAGGATATTTTCCAGTCTATTAGCTAACACTTTTGCGAAGATTTTGTAATCTTGGTTCATTAAACTAATTGGTCTATACGAATTTACGTCTAAAGGGTCTCTCTGGGGTTTTAATATTGGCATAATTTCAGCTTTCTTCCATGAATCTGGCATTTTACCCCCTTTTAATATATAATTGAATAGACTTTGCATTTCTGGAATCAGGAGGTCCACCATTTCCTTATAGTATTCCACTGTGAATCCATCCAACCCAGGTGATTTCCTGTTTTTTAATCTCTTTATTACTTCTGCTATTTCCTGCCTTGTAATTTCTTTATTTAAGTTTTCCCTTTGTTCTGTTGTTAATTTCTTGTCCAATTGTTCATCCAGTTTTTGACTTTCCCCAGAACTAAATAATTGTTGATAAAATTTAGCAAATTCCTCTCTTATGTAAATATTTTTGAAAAGCTTTTTTCCCCATCCCCCTTAATACATCCTATTATTTGTTTTTCCTTTCTTGCCTTTAAATAATTTGCCATTCTTTTCATTGTATTTATATTAATTCTTTGATATTCATTTTTCACTAATATTTCTTTTTTCCAGAAAGATAGGGAATCTAAGTTCTCTAAATCTTTTTTGTCTTTTTAAAATTTCTTGAGTCTTGCTACTATAGTTTTCCTGAAGTTCCTTTTGTTTTTGTCTAATTTCGCTTACTTTCCTATTTCTTTCCTTATTATTATCCCTACTAATTCTAATTTCTTTAGCTATATAAACTCCCCTTATAACTGCTTTGGCCGCGTCCCAGACCACTTCTTTCATAGCTGAATCCCTATTCTCTCTAAAGTACATTTCTATATCTCTTCTTAGGTTCATCTGATCTTTTTCTGTTAATGGTATATTAGCCTTAAATTTCCAAATATTTACTTTCTGTTCTTCACTTATTTTAAATTGTGCTATCATGAAAACTGTAACACATGTATGCACAAATGAGAGCTGAAATGACTTGTACTTTTCTGGTATTTTCACTCACACCTCAGTAGTAATTTTAAATGGAAAAAAATGAACTTAAAAGGAAAACCCAGAGTTTCTAAGGATTTATCAAGCTACAAAACTGGCTTAAGAAAATTATAACCTAGGTCACTCTTTGGAGCACAGATCCTCAAACAGAATGAATGCTTTCAGTATATTAGAGAAAAAGGAAACTATATTGCATGCCACCTCTCCTACTCAAAGCAACTCACAAATATAAACCAAGCAAATCATAAAAGCAAATCATAACAATAGTAACATTAAAAAACAATCTAATCCAATTTCTTAAAAATCAAAACCACAATTAAAAGCAAACCAAGGCATGCATACATGCACAAGTGCCATCAAGTCACAACTGACCTATGGTGACCCCGGCAAGGGGCTTTCAAGGCAAAAGAAAAGCAGAGGTGTTTTGCCATTGCTTTCCTCTGCAGAATCTTCCTTGGTGCTCTAAGCCAAGGCACAAAAGCACAAAAAGCAGTCTAAAATTATATTAATAACACAATCTTCAAATTAGGAGCAGACCATGTTAAAAAAATGATACTCCTTTGTTAAAAGTCTGGGTGAAAAGCAGTGTTTGGGCCTGGCACCTAAAGTAAAGTAAGCACCAAGCCATCACTGAAAAACCCATGTATCTTGTTGCCAGGCTTGTTGCCACTGTAGGCATAGGTAGAAAGAGAGGGCTTGAGAAGAGGATGTCAACTAGTAAGCAGGACAGTATGAGAGGAGGCTAGGGGTGCTGGCCTGGGTGGCAGAGGAGGGGGTATTATGTCACACCAATGCTGCAAAGTCACTTCCAACTAATACTTGGTGGTGACATCACATCACCGATGAAACATCAGTGTAAAGCTTTAGGATTTGGGCAAAACTCAATTGTTTTATCATAGAGTTTTACTTACAACTTAGAGAGAGAGATTAATGTCATGTTGGTGATGGCACTTCTAGGTATTCTCCAGAAGTGATGTTTTGGTGCCAGTGCAGTGTGATTTGGGGGGGGGGAATCCTCCCACCAGCACTTAGTGGGCCAGCAGTCAATGAACAGGAGGACTGGGAAGAAGGGATGTGCATGAAACAGGAAAATGAGGTTCAGTTTGTGGCTCGTGGCTGAATTAAGAACCAAACCATGAACTGAATCAAACCAGGAAGCTGGTTTGTGAACTGAACCGGTTCATGGTTCATGGCCCCACAAACACCATTGACCATGTGTTCACCTGGGAGAGCTGGAACAAGCTTCAAGGAAATGGACACAGTGTAGAGAACTAGAACATCTAAGCTAACGAGTCTCTCCTATATTTAACCATATGATAGGACATGTATAGCAAGAGGGACAGAGGATTTGCTTTTCACCTATTTCTTTTTGATTTCCTTGCTCAGTTTGGAGCTGTGCTAAAAGTATGCTTGTAAGCATATTATTTTAAATAAATATTTTCTAACTTTTGAAACTGGCAGTGGTTCTCTGTACCACATAGATCTCCACTGTCTTGGACATGCTATTTTAAAAGGGGGCCTGGGGGGGAGGCAGGCAGTTGGCAAGTGGCTATTCTTCCAGGGGTGCCTAAGGTAGTATATTGCCCCCATGGTGACAAGATATTGGGCAGCAGGAGACACAGAGGCAAGACCTCAGAACTTGGAAGGGAAGCTGGGAGTCCTGTCCCTCCCAGAGGACAATTCCTTGAAAAAGGGCGGGTGGTGTTGGCAAGCTACCTGAGAGTGAAAAAAAGCCTCTCCAGGTATAGAAAAACCTAGGAGGGCAAGGCAAAATAGTGCCTGCAGGCTAGAGCAGGCCTGTTCTGCCATATGCCCAATTGTCTCAGGCATAGGCAGATCTCAGGTGAGGTATCACCATGGTGGTATCTGGATATATGGACTCTCTTGTAAGACCCTATGCTATTAATGCTCCTAGTTATGTGTGCAACACCACAGATTTCTTGAGGAAAATACATTATTTGAATAGCTTTCCAGAAAATACTTTTTTGGCCATCATGTATGTGGAATCTCTGTACACCAACACCCCACATGATGGATTACAAGCCATAAGAAACATGATTTTTGAAAATACCACAGCTGACCTTGCCACCAGACTGTGCCAATTTGTTCTCACCCACAACTACTTCAAGTTTGGTAACAACCTGTACCTTCCGATTAATGGTTAAGCCATGGGCACCTACATGGCACCACAGTATGCTAATATCTTCATGGCTGACTTGGAGCAATGTTTCCTAAACTCCTGCCCACTCATACTTCTCCTATACCTGTGTTACATTGATGACATTTTTATTGCCTGGACACATGGTAAAGAAGCCCTGGACACACTCCACCAAGCATTCAATGACTTTCAGCCCACCATCAACCTGATAATGAACCTACCTATGCAAGGAATACATTTTGTAGACACCACTGGACAAATACACGATGGACGCATAGCCACCACCTTATACTGGAAACCTACCAATTGACAAACATATTTATTTATTTATATTTTCGATTTCTACCCCGCTCCAACCCCGAAGGGTCTCTGAGCGGCTTACAAGTTCCAAATTTATCCCTAGCTAAGGCCACATGTCTACAGGGGTTGGGGCTGCCTACCGGCACCCAGATGGCAGAGCTTGCCGTTTTTCTTGGTTGTTCTTCCCGGGAGGTCTTTCGGGTGTCAGCCCTTGGTTCCTGGTGTGGTCGTCCGGTCTGGCGGCTTCTTCTTTCTCTTTTTCTTTCGGCGGGCTCGTCTGGTATGTGGGTCGTATCGGCTTACAGCCCAGCCACATCCGTACGGCTCCGCTGCGCTTGCGTCACATCACCACGTCCTTCTGTAGCTCCGCCTCTGTCTCCACCTCCATCGCTCCACTTGCCTTCGCTCTACTGCTCCGACGCTATGCCACTCCATCGCCGCCATTTCCACCATCACCGCCACCGCTGCAGTCGCTTCTACTGCTCCTGCCACACACACCCATATGGGGAGGGTGCCCCCTGCCACCTAAGGGCGGATACCCATTCATCTACTCGCTTATATTAATTGCTTTCAGACCGCTGGGTGGGCAGGAGCTGGGACTAGGGCCAGGAGCTCACCCTGGCTGCGGTGGGTTACCAGCAGGCGTTTTACCGCCTACGCCACCGCTCCCCTTCTACACGCATATCTCCACGCATCCAGCTACTATCCTAAACATACCAAACACACTGCTCCCCTTCTACACGCATATCTACACGCATCCAGCTACCATCCTAAACATACCAAACAATCTATTATCTACAGTCAGGCTCTACACTACAACAGCATTTGTTCAAATTCTACAGTTCCTCACTTGAGAGATATACAACAAACCTTTATGAAACTAAAGCCAAGAAACAGATTAATAATGCCAGAAGGATACTTAGAGAAAGCCTGGTACAAGACAGGCCCAAAAGAGACAATAACAGAACACTACTAGTAGTCACATACAGCTCTCAACTCAAAAAAAATTCAACACACAATCAATGACTTACAGCCTCTACTGAATAATGACAGTTTTGTTTCACAAGCACTGGGGGGCAAATCTTTTCTTGCACATAGACAGCCCTCCAATCTCAAACAACATTTTAGCCACAATAATACAACATCTAACTTGAACATGGACACTGGTAGGAGCTTGCAGTAAACCCAGATGCCAACTTTGCTGCCACATACATCAAGACAACATGATCACTGGGCTTAACAGCATCAACTATGCCATCTCAGGCTCATTCACTTGCTCATCTTCTAACATTGTATATGCCCTTAAATGCCAACAATGCCCTTCCATTCTCTACATAGGGCAAACATGTCAAACCCTATGCCAGAGGATATATGGACACAAATCTGAAATCAGGAATCACAAGGCTGAGACACCTGTAGGAGAAAACTTCAGCCTTCCAAAACATTCAGTGGGTGACCTCAAAGTAGCTGTTTTATTGCAAAGGAACTCCAGGAACAGACTGGAAAGGGAAATTGCTAAATTACAAGATATTATAACACTCAGAACAAAAAACCCAGGACTGAACATGGATATTGGTTTCTTATCTCATTACATATGCTAATCTCATCCAGTCCTTACATCTGTATTCTCACCAAGAAGGGCTATACATCCTCTTTATTTTCATGTATTTCTTGGACTAGTTGATTGGAATAGTGATTGTAATGTAATACAATGAATAGTAGAATGTAACGTAATTTGGAATAGTAGATTGGAATGTATTTCTCTGGCCCACTGACAGAGGAGACATAGCACTGCACAACCAATCACCCCATCTTAAAGAAAAGGATGCTGTTAGTTCCCTCCATGCTTGAGAAGAGATAGATGGAGCATAACAACAGGGTCCCAGTTAATAAAATAATAAAATTACTCTCAGCATTCTACAATTAAGAAGGTTACATTTACACATTGATCTCCAATTCGGATATATTGGCTTCAGTATGTTTCTCTCCCAGTATTAAATCCAAACAAATGGTAACCATATAAACCAAGCTTGTTATTTCTGTTTGGTCCTTGCATCTGTTAAACATCTTCACTATGTTACATGCTGATGGGGGGGGGTCCAAGTTGATCTTGGACCCCCATAGGCCCCCTGGAGGGGGGCTGTAGCCTGGGGCATGAGAGGTGCCTCTCCCATGGTGGAAGCCAAAGGATTGAGGTACCTTTTTGCCCTTAAAGGCCCCCGCGGCATGTAGCCAGCATGGCATCAAGAGGCACACAATGGATAGAGCACACAAGGATCCTAAGGAATTATCCTCTCTACATATGCAATGAACACAAGTACAAACACAAGTGAAGTTATGACCCAACAAACAATCGATAAAACGCTAGCAGCAAAGCCATCCCAAAGCCCCAAACAAGCGGAAGGGGGAAGACTGAATTTAAAGCAGGAAACGGAAAGGGTGGCTTGAAGGAAGCAGATTATGACAGAGTGTGTGGCAGACCAGCAAAAAAGTGATAAATCACCAGACTTACAGAGAACTTTTAAACTTTCCTCTTGTATAAACAATGACGCAGTGAGCAGAATAAGTGGTGCCAAAAACGAAATTTATAAGAGGAACGGCCAGCACATCATCACCGGCTACCAGACCAGAAGCAACTACAGACTTTCCCAAACCAATTGCTGCAGCTTTACGCCCTCTACTTGACCAGATGACCACCTTAGCAACAAGCTGTATATGTTGCAAAAGGAACTCAAAATTTCAGCGAGAAAGAAATAAAGTGAATGTTCCTGAAGCAACAACAGAAAGCAGAAGAGGGACCTGAGAAAGGGGAGGAGAATAAAGACGCAGAAGAAGAAGATAAAGAAGGATGGGAAAGACTCTGATATCAATTCAATTAGTCTGGCAAAACCCTTTGATTTTGAAGCAGAACTAGGGGTTGTTACCCCTCAAAGCATTTAAAAACTAATTTGGAGAGGAAAATGCAAAATAGCTTAATTTCGATAGCCTGATGTTTAATTTCAACGCATAACTCCAAACTAATATTTACACTATAGCGTTTATTGTCAATGTATAATTTTAAAATTAAGATGCACAACTATAGTCAAATATGTTTGTGATCATTTGCCTTTTAATTTGATATTTTTATAATATTATCTCTCACACTTTACTATTCTGACAAAAGAGATGTATCAACAATTTCAAACTTTGGTAATAATGATCCTTGGTACTCTAGTTTTAGGTTGTTCCCATCCCCAGCCCTGTAGTATTGTAGTTTTAGAAAAACAATAAAAATGTATATAAAAAACACATCTTCATTATGTTGTATGCTGATTGCTATATGTATGGACTGGTAACTTCCATTTCAATGTATCTGAAGAAGTGTGCATGCACATAAAAGCTTATACCTTGAATAAAACATGGTTGGTCTTAAAGGTGCCACTGGACTCAAAGATAAAACAATGTAAGACTGCTGTAGCTTTCAGAAAGAAGATTGCAATCTATCCAACCTCCAGACTGTTCTCCAAACTCACCTGAAATCCCAAAATTCTTCTTGCTCAATTGATAAGTTCTGGTGTCTTCTAGACCAGGTGGTCCCTCTGCAATTTATCATCCAAACATCATAGCCAGCATCTGCTAGGGCAAATCCTATACTGTTGTTGGGAGGATTTAGAATCCAGCACTTACTGTCAGTAACCACACCAGATACCAATAGCACAGCGGGGTTATGTCCTGAAAAAGACAGAATGGAAGCATAATATAGTCTGAGAAAAGTCCCTCTGCTAATACCTTTTACATGTCTGGGGCTGCAATCACACACACATTTAGATCCAACATAGGTGTGAATGCCTGACAGATCTAAAGGGTGCGATCAAACAGCAAAATCTGGGAAGCATCCTGCAGTCATCGGCAACCCGTGCTGCTCTGCCACAGAAGCGGGGTTAAAAGACACCAGGGAAAGTCTAGCTCTAACAGGTTCCAATGGGCTACGGATGGACTTTCCCCTGTCTGATTGCGCAAGCATGCTCTCATGCCATCAGGATAGTCTGATCATTCCATCCCGGCTCGGTGCCATCCCCCCCCCCTTTGCAGTGTGCGCATCATCGCGTACTCCATAGGGGGCCCTCAGTGTGGAGGCGCAATTCCTTGTTTATGTGCATGGGAAACAAATGGCCAAAAAGAGCCTGACACACCTGCAGTTGAGTCTGATCACACAGTGACAGGCTGAGCCCGCAGCTACAAAGGGATGTGTGATCTTGCAACTGCGTGTCATATTTCTTCAGAGGAAATAGCTTCGCTTCCCCCCTCCACTTCAACTGGCATGTGTGACCACAGCCTGGGACTGGAAAATGGCCTGCAGTGATGCTCTGTGACTAGTGTTGTCACTGAACTCAGAATTCCTTTATTCAAAATCTAAATCTGGGTGAATTACATCATTAACCTTTGATGTGAGGCATCCTGAATATGGCAGTGTCTTGGGAAGAGGAAAGAGAGGGAGGCCTCTCTTCCCCCCTCCCCCAAAGAAGCAGCTGCCAACAGGTAAGTGGGTTTGAGAACCTGCAAGGATGGAATTTAAGCCCTTATGTGGAGGGTCTTGCTACTATGAGTTTATTTTGAACACCATTCCCAAATGTAATCCACAGACACCACCAACCCATCTCATGGATGGAGAAGTTCTTCCATCAGCAATGGTGACTTTGGCTGGATGAAAACCACCTTCCACATTTAGAGGGCTGCCTCTCCCTGTATGAACTTGTGCACAGATTGTCTCCTTTCAGCACTTCCTGCTGGTTCTACCATTGCTCGGATCTGTGAGATCTGCTGTAGCCAGTTCAAGAGTTGTCTTTCTAAGTACACCTAGGCTCCAGAATGGATTCCCAGAAGGGGTTAGGAAATCCCATTCCCTTCTGTTCATTACAAAACAATGTAATGCCATGATAGTCATTACAGTTTTTGATAATTAACTAAGATGCTGGCATCATCATCATCATCTTACATTAAAATGCAATGTGCATTCTAGGCCAGAAATAATTTCTTATTATTGGTTAATTTTGAGGTCTAACATACCTCTGTGTACTACTGGATAATGCAAAGGGACCCCATAAAATATTGCTAGCATACACACTGTGAAGACCAGATCAGGAAGGGTTGCTAACTAGGAGTAATATGGACAAAACTCAAAGAATGCCTGTTAGCCAGTGAGCAGCCACAGCTAGGGATGCATAAGCACCCCCTGGTTTGAGTCATGGGATAAGAGGACACGTTCTCTTATGGAATAAAAACTGGTTAAATAACAGGAAGTAAAGAGTAGGAATCAATGGGGTTGCAGTGGATAGCTCAGTGAAATTGTCAACCCAGTGTGCTGCAGTGGTGAAAAAGGTGAACGCAATGTTAGGGATTATTAGGAATGGGATTGAGAATAATGTCCCTATATAGATCTATGGTGCGGCCTCATTTGGAATACTGTGTACAGTTCTGTTCACTGTATCTCCAAAAGGGCATTGCAGATCTGGAAATAGTACAGAGAAGAGCAGCCAAGATGATTAGGGGGTTGGAGCACCTTCCTTATGAAGAAAGGTTGAAGAGACTTTTCCAAAGTAGAGCGTCACCCCGACATTGCTGACGCAATGATGTCATTTCCGGAAGTGATGTCAGTGCACCGCTAATGTCCCTGCCTATCCCCCAAACATGCCCCCCCATTCCTCTGCTTGCAGGAGGAAGGGACCTGGCAACCCTAGGTAGAAAGGAGATATGTGGTTGGCTCTTTTTAAGTGATCTTGTATAACCACACATAGTACGATGGTGTGGGCAACTCATACGAGGAAATGGCACCCCTGTTAGAAGCGTCAGCTCTGAATGGGCCTTCCATGCCAACACAGCTATTCCCACACACAAAAGCATAAGAAGAAAGGAAGGTGAAGTGAGGCCACAAGCAAAAGATTATTCCCCTTTCCTCATTATTCTAGCTAGTTCTGCAGTCTTGTTCATTCCATTCTCCCTTAGCTTTTCATTGGCAGATATATAACACCAGAGATGGTGTGCATGTGAATCCTGCTGGTGCCCTTTCTCCGAGCTAAAGCAGCAAGGAGGATACTGAGCCATACCCTCAATCGACTTTGAAACACTAGAATTTCATTAAACCAATACCTTTCTTCCCAGGACTGTGTAATCCGTAAGGAATTCTGTTTAATTGCAGGAAATAGCCATCATCAGTCTGCACTTCATATTGTTCGCTGGGATACCCCCAGAACTGGATGATTTCAGGCTGTAAGGAAATAAACAAACAAACAAAATCCTGGAGGGGGGGAGCAGATCTTTACTTTTATCTTGTTTGGGCAATTGCCAGAACTAGCTGGTTCACAGTTTTGTGATCTCAAAATATCCAGGACCAAGAATATTGTTAAAGGTTTTTACTGACTCCAAGGCCTCAAAATGTTATAGGCTGAATCTTTAAATAAATAAATAAGCCATTCTAAGATCAAACTCCCTTCACATTAAGATAAAAATAATTCACAAAATCACTGGTGCTACAAAAATACATCAGCAGTAAACACCCTACAGACTTTCACGTTGTGCTTAGTTACAACATGACCTTCATGCATCTATAATTTCCTTAGACTTGCAGCATGGTGCAGTGGTTAAAAGCAGCGAACTTTGCAATGGAGAACTGGGTTTGATTCCCTACTCCTCTACTTGAAGCCTGGCACCGGCGTAATCTTCGCGGGGGCTGGGGGCTGGCGCCTCCCAAAATTTCCCCAGAAGCCCTGCCCACCCCTCGCCCTCCGAAGCCTCCAAGTTATGGCCGCCCCAGTTGCTGTCCTGCCTGCCTGCCGGCTGTCAGAGCCGGAGGGAGGGGAAAGACGCCTGCAGTTAGCAGCGGCTAGTTCTCGGCCGGAGCAGCGCCTTACCCGGGTGGCGGCCAAACAGCCCGCTCTGGAGCCTGACGCAGAAGAGAGCCGAGCTGGCGCTTGCGGGGCTGCCTCCCCGGGCAGGGAGGAGTTGGCCCAGCAGCAGGCCGCGACGGACTCTGCCGGAGGGAGGGAGGGAGGGAGTCTTGGGAAAGGGACCGCCGCGAAGGAAGCCGCCCGGCCCCAGCCCCGCCCCTGCCGAGAGCGGCCCTGAGGCCGCCGTGGGAACACGCGTGTATGTGTAGGGGGGGCGTGCAGCTCTTCTGGTCCCCTTCCCTCCCTCCGGTCTCTCAAAGGACATCGCGGCGGGCCGGGGCTGGGGGTAGCGCAGAGGAGAGTGGCCCAGAGCCAGATTCGGGGGCGGGAGCACCTCCCCTAGGAAACGGCAGGCTGAAGCATCGGGAAAGTTTC